TTTTAATTTTAAGTTTGAAAAATTTCTTGTTTTTTGCTACCTCCTTTAGGCTTCCAAAAGCGGTCACAACTGTCCTTCCAATAGTCATCCACCATATGATAATGGTTAGCCTCGAGGTGCAGATATCGAGTGGCACTCCCCACTGACTTAAACGCTTCTTCCCAAACAGTGGTCCCGTTTCCAGAACTTGCACCAGTAGTTTTCATTGAAGTAGGCGTTCCCGTCTTGGCAAAAGCCGCCCACGCCTGAATCATATTATCGCTCAGCTGTTTCTGAACGGGACTCAAATGTTTTGCCGGATCAGGAAAGATAAACGACCCATCCTGGCCGTGGGTGACGCCCACCCAGGCGGGAGTTCCGGTCGGCGGAGGCTCAAAGGACTGCATCAGTCGGTAGGCGTAGAACTTGGAGGTTTTGTCGCCATTTTGAGGTGATGATAACGGTTGATTGTGGCGGGCCATCTCTTCGGCCATCAGCACCGTCGGGCAGACCAGGTGGCGGTCACCCCAGACGTTGCTCAGCGCCACGCGGAACTGGTTTTGAGTGAAATGAGTTCCATTTTTGAGGTAAAAGTCGGCAATTTCAAGCGCCTCCACTCGGTTCACCCGATAAATGGCCAGCATTTTGAGGATTGCAGCTTTGGCAGTTTCAAAGGTGTAGTTGTACGACGGGTTGGCCATTTCAGGGAGAATCGGTGCAGCGAAAGAGGAGCCCTCGTTGCGGGTGACGCCGTACTAGAGAAAAAAGTATAAAAAATTTGTAAATTAACACAACACTTACAAAGATAGACTTACAATCAAATCAACTTTATTAAAGCGACCTGTTTTCAGAGCAACGTCAGGTTTCACCGGCATCACCTCGTCGCCGTACACTGGCACAAAAAAGTTGTTTGCCAGAAAGTCGCCCACTTGCGCCGCTTTCAGGTTTTTGATGCTTTTTGTGGCCAGGCAGTGCATTGTTTTAGAAGTGAGATGAAGATCAACCGAGCAGTTGACCTTCCTGGCCATCAACTGGGTTTTTTCCATTGATCGGTTTAGCGATTCGGCGACAAATTCGGCCGTCGGAGCGCCAGATTGCATGATAGCTCGATGGAAAAGCCCTTTTGTTAGTGGAGAGAGTATCAGGGCTCCTACTGAAATGGAGCCGGCACTTCCGCCAGAAATGGTCACATCGGCAGGATTTCCCCCAAAAGCGGCAATATTTTCCGTTACCCAACGGAGCGCAAAAATCTGGTCAAGAAGGCCTAGGTTGGGCGGAACTGAGCCTCCGCTGGCAAAACCCAACGGTCCCAGACGGTAGTTGATGGCCACTACAATGAGGTCGCCTTGACTGGCCAAGGCCTCGCCTGTTAAACCATCTAAAAAATAGTGCCAGCCTGCAAAGAAAAAACTTAAGTTGATAAAGAGGATAGCTTTATCCTTGATCAAAGGTGTACCTCAAAGGCGCCGCCGTGAATGTAGACAATCACTGATCGATTTGTTTTCACCTCGGCTGGTCGCCAAATATTCAAGTAGAGGCAGTCCTCGCTGAAGGACTTGACCAGGCTGTTGAGCAACGCCTCTAGACTCGGGTCAAGGCCAAACTGGTAGCAGGCGTCCCGTTTGCTGGTGGCCGGGTACACCTCAGGCCAAAGTTGCACTTCAGTAGGTTTCTCAAAGCGTTTTGCTTCAGCTGATTAAAAATAAAAAATATTTTAAATTTTGTTTAAAAAAAATTTGTTTAGATTACCATACTTGATGCCTTCAAAAAATTCAATTGTTTTGTTCTCCGACGCTAGGTGCACCACTTTTCCGTGCACTTTACCGTGTTTTAGCTGGACAATGTGCGTCAGCTGCTCATTGGCGCCTAAAGTAATGGCTGGAAAAGCAAAAACAGCTAAAAACACGTCCATACAATAAGTTGCTTCATTTTTTAATCAAAAAAATTAATGGCGCAATTTAAATGGATTTTGAGTACTTAAATAACAAAAAACTAAAAAATACCGTTTTTTGTACCTTGCCCTTTATTTTATCATCACGGTTGCTAAATAGTGTTAATTGAATCACAAAGTAATTAATTTGTTTGTACTCTATTCAATTAGTCATTTTATATGTTACATGCATAATCATAAGTGTTTTTAGTTAATGGTCGTAAAAAGTGACATGTGCAAAAAAGTTACGTTTTAAAAAATATTTGTAATAAAAAATAATTTTAATAAACACAATTTGTAAATTGCAATTTTGAGAACAAAAATATAATTTTTAAATGATTAGTTATATTTTATCAACCGATTAAAAATCATTTATTTTTGCAACAAAAGTTCAAAATAAAACACATTTGAAGAAAAATTCTTTTAATTTGTGTTTTATTTATGAGTTTTTCCAAATAAATTAATATAAACACATTTTAAAAACTTTTTTTTATAATTAATTATCAACAACGTCCGCTAACCATTAATTACTTTTATAAATTGTCTTAAACTACTTTAGGCTAAAAATATTAAAGTACTATAGTACAAAAAAAGTGTAATTAGTTTAAAAAATCACAAAGTTTTATACTTCTAATTCTACTTGAATACTAAAACCTTGTTTCAAATTATCTTTCTAGTACACTATAAACCAATGTCTTTTGTTCACTCTAAGCTTAAAAACAGTTTTATACAAATGTCTGTAAGCGGAATTTTTAGCCGCCAACCACTTTCCTACTCTTGGAATGCGGAACAAATTGGCGGAGGTGGTGAGAATGGCGACCAGCCAGGTCTCAAGTTTACCGGAAACCGTTTGGCAATTATTTACCTGTACTACTGCCTGCTGGCCAGCTTTTCACTGCGAAGCACCCTGAAGGGCCTTTCAATGATTGCCCCTACTGCAGGTCGATTTCCGCTTGTTTTCCGCCTTCAGGAGGTGGACTTTATGTTCTCCATTTTTGAGCAAATTGGCTTGACGATGGGTCCCTTCTATTTTCTGGTAGTCACCATTTGGACCTATTCAGGCGCCGTCTACTGCTTGCAGCTGCACCGACCTGATGTGCCCTGCTGGCGGCGAGCCTACGACCTGACAGTGCACAACAGTCGCCTGCTCATAAGGGCGGCGCTGGTCGGTGATAAGGCAGCTAAATCACAGCTGCAGCTTCAAAAAGAAAACAAACAAGTGAAAGGAAAAAATCGCAACAATTCTGCCGCTCAACAACTGCTAAAAGATGCAAAGAAAAAAGATCCGCCTCTTGTTGAAACGCTAAAAGTGTCCTGCCTGGTCTACTACAAAGTGCTGCCGCTGGCAAATCGCCGGAAGCTGCTTCAGTGGCTGATGCTCTCTGAGCTGTTCATGTTTGGTTTTATTTGCAGTAAGAGACAATAGAAATGATTAGCGCAATTTTTAGTAAAAAAAAACAGGGGGTAAGTCTGGCAAGCCAGGACTACAGCGAGCCTTTTTTTGCGTGCACCGCTAGGACTTTGCGGGTTTTAGCCGTGCGCTGATAGGAACTTGCAATTACTGTCGACGGAAATTTACAGGGGTCACTTCAAACCTAGCTGCGATTAGCCATGCAACGCTAGGACTTTCAAACTACTTTATCGCAAATCTCTGATGTGACTTGGCCACTGTCAACTTCCGTCTCCTCGGGCCCTGCTCGCTTCGCTCGCAGGACCCTCGTCGACGGAAGTTAACAGTGGTCAAGACACATCAGACCTCGCGAAGTGTAGGCGTGCACCGCTAACAAACATCGATCATTTTACCGGCGGCTCACCCGACATCGCTTGTACACTTTAAACTTCCGCCGNGACGGAAGTTAACAGTGGTCAAGTCACATCAGACCTCGCGAATTTGAGGCGTGCTAGGAAAACACATTAGATGTAAACAAAAGGAAAACCTTCGTCCCTCCAGGAGGGACCCTCCTAGTGAAGGGAATGGTAGCGCTCCCTGCAGAAGGGACCGCAAACTGTTTACATTTGCTAGCAGCAGCAAACGCGCACGTTTTACCAGTCTGCAGGCTGTCGCGCTCTTCTCTCTGTGCGTCATAGCGTCTGCCGTGTTCTTCTCTCTCCTGCACTGTGCTGCCTTGTGCAGCCAGCTCACTCAGCCTGAGTCACACTTTACTGCACAACACGTCTGCTACTGTCTGCCACTCTCCTCTCTCTCTCTGTACCTTTCACAGTGCTTCCATTCCCCTACTGTTGTACGTGCATTTTTTTCGGGTCCCTGGATCTCGGGGCCCGTTGGTCGTACAACTCTAATTCTTTTGCCTGAATTTTTGTTTGAATTAATGTGATTTTTGTGCCAAGTTTGGGCAAAATCGGTGACTGGGAAGTATTTAATGCTCACCAGACAAGACAGACAGACGGACGGACACAGAGTGAGAATAAAAGCGAGATTTTTTTCAAAAAAAAGTCTCGCTAAAAAAAGTCTCGCTAAAATTATTAAGTTTCTAATCAAAACTTATTCCGCTTAGGCTGTTTGTTCATCGTACTCTTCGCCTACGTGGTGGTGATTTCCAATGAAAGCAACACCCTAGTGCCGCTTTTAAAGTCGGTTGGCTGGCCTTTCTATCTTCTGGTCAGCCTGCTCGACGTGGCCAGTTACCTCTTTATGCTGGTGTTGATGCTGCAGGCCTCCTTCTTCGCCGCCCTCACCAATGCGCTACTGTGCTACGCGGCAATTAAAGAAATTGGCGCCTTGACTGTGACTGCAATTTCAACTCTAAGAAAAGGATTAAAACAAAAGGTAGAATTTTTTCTGCACTACCACGCCTCGATGACCGCCTTCCTGGTGGGCCACTACGGCCGCCACTTCAGTCGGCTGGTGGTCCTCTTCCTCGGCGGCAATGTCCCCACCAACTGCTACCTCATCTGCTATCTGCTGTACGACAGCAGCTCAACTGCTGCTGTACAGTCAAATAATCTCCGTCTTTCTGGCACCGGCCGTTTTTGCCTCATTTTAACGGTCACTCTACAGTTGGTCCAGCTGTTCGGCCTCCTTCTGCCGGTTATAGTTTTAAATGAAGCACTGGCCAGAGGACCGTTCCGTTTTGTGCACCAGCGGTGCCTGATGCAAAGGCAAAGGCACCGTTTGGGCGCTTTCTTTGGTTTAAGGTTTAGAACTAGGCTCCGCTTGGCTCTGTACTGTGAGCTACTGGTGAGTCAAAGTGGGAAAAATGTCTGCTCGCATTTTGGCATCAGTGTCCCCTGGTTTGGCAGGCTTCGACAGTGGACGGTGTTAGAGGTAAACTAATTTTTATTTTTTATATAGATGTTATATTTTCACCAATGTTACATTAATTGATGTGAACTAATTTGTTTTTTTGTTTGTTTGACTACTCTACTCTACTCTAGTTTGCAATTTTGTACACCGTTTACATTTTCAAATTCAGTGAGATGTTCATCATCACTGGAAGGAGAATTTAAATTCTTGTTGATAAATGTTGCTAAAGTTTTTAGCTTTTTCTGTGGGTGTTAAAGTTTTTGACCAAACTGATGATGACTAAAAACTGCTGTTTAGCTGTTGAGGATTAAATCAAACGAGAACAGCAAGTAGGCCGCGTAAAAACAGATAAACTGGAGAAAAACAAAAAGTAAACATTTAAAACTCATTATTTCTAACAGATTGCTGTGCCTGGCAATGTATTGACTGGCCTACCTCAAAGAAGGCACTTTTGGTCACCCGGCCGATCGGACCGGCGGAGAAGGCAAACTGCTGCTCACTGTTGAGCACCTCAAAGTAGGTGGCCACTTGGATCATTTGCCGTTGCTTTGCGTTTTTATCACTACCACCACCACCAGCTGCTGCTGCTGCTGCTTCTGCCGCCGCTAAACACCCCTGGGAGCGGAAGAGCAGCATGGAAGGGCGGTGGTGGAGTTCACTGGTGAGCACCATCATCGGCCACATCGCCATAATGATGAAGACAAACTGCTTGATGCAGAGGACAATGAGCAGCGTCTGATGCAGCGTGGACATTGACCAGGTCAAGGAGAGCATTGCCACTA